ATTAATGTGAACGAATGGACTAACCGAGCGCCCCAGAGAGCCAATGGGAGACGGGGACAAGCGATTCGATTATCAGACACGCATTGGCCAACATCCGTGTGAGTTATTTACCGTTTGCTTAACTGACTCAAAGGAGGAACCTCGTAGATTTAGTGGGGTCTTTTGTTACGTGTGTGAACATGTAACTTAGACTGAGTTCTGTAACAAGGAGCCCGGACAAGTTTATTGATGTACCCTTTCGACGAGTGCTTTGGACAATGAACAATGAATTTATACGGGTTAAGAAGCGTTGCTTTACAAGTCCCGTTGGATAGTTGGTGGGGATATCAACATAACAATAATGATAGTAAGGATAGTAAAATAGTTAAAACTTTAAATATGAAAATAAGGACTTATCGTTTGCTTTGCTGTAGTCCTGCGATCCTCTTAGATTCACAGCACCCACAGTTAATAACAAATAATTCCATGATAAACTCCAGGTGCAGGATGGAGACGTAGTGTTAAGTGACAAAGTGTAAGTGGGTGAGTGCTTCGTCCAACCGTTTTTTTTAAATACTGTTAGTGTCGGTGCAGGGACGACCGATCCTGGGAGAGCATTCCACGGGTGACAGACTCGGATGGAAAAGAAATTTCTGCGGCACTCCACACGACTGTATTGTTCTGCGAGTTTTAATGAGTGGCCCCTCAGGTTTGTATTGCTGCTGAGTTGCAGTAAAGGGCGGCACACATGATGTGGGTCTCGCAGAATCAAGTATGCCATAATCAGGTCGCCTCGTAGTCTGCGATAGCTTCCACTGAACAATCCCAATCGTTGCATCCTCTATTGGTAGGAAAGATTGCGCATTCCAATTACGTTCTTAGATGCCCGGCGTTGTGGCTGCTCCAGTGCATTAAGGTCGTGTTTCAGCCATGGATGCCAGGCTTGAATTGCATATTCGACATGGGGCGAACATACGCACTGAGCATTTGTCGAAATATGGAGCTGTTTATTTGTCCAAACGCCCGTCGCAACAGCCCGAAGTGTTGGTTCCCGGTCTTCGAGGCCTTTTCGGATTGCCTGGAGCAACCCAAGTCATCTTGAACCAGGACATCCAAGTCACGTTCTAGAGTTGAATGTGGTAGTATATTCGTTCCGAGTCGGTATGCGTAACTGCTCTGATGTCGGATGGAAAGCACCTTGCATATACTGACGTTGAAATGCAATAAGTTTTGGGTCGACCATTGATACACCGTATCTAAATCACTCTGAAGCACATGTTAGTCGGCGTTCGCCCGGATCCTGCGCCAGATCTTGATATCGTCGGCAAACATTAAGAAGTTTGAAGCGATTCCCTGTGCAAGGTCATTAATATACACCAAAAATAAAAGGAGATCTAGAAATGAGCCTTGCGGTACGCCACACTCGACTTGTATGCGGTCCGATAAAGAGCTCCGAACTCTGACCACTAATTGCCATTGAAATAGAAAGTTGGCGATCCAGCTTAAAAGAGGGTCGCCGATCCCGTAACGATGCAGTTTGTATAGTAGTATCCGATGGTCTAGACAATCGAAAACCTTGGAAAAATCTAGATAGATCACATCAACACCTCCTCCAGCGTCAGCTGCCTCGGTCCAACTACTGCGTGCTATTAGTAAATTCGTTGTACATGACCGCTGTCGACGGAAACCGTGCTGTTCAGGAGTGATGAGGTTGCAGTTTTCCAGATAGCACACCAGTGCATCGGCAACTATGGATTCCATGATCTTGGAGAGTATAGGAAGAATGGTTACTGGGCGGTAGTTGGAGGGATCAGTTCTGCTTCCACCTTTGTGAATCGGGGTTATTATTCCAAGCTTCCACATGGCGGGAACTTGGTTCTGGTCTAAGCAGCACTGGAAAAACTGAGCTAAAGGCTCTGCCGGTTGGCTTGCTGCTGCTTCCAATGCCTCTGGACGAATGGCGTCGACACCCGGCGAGGTGTGTTTGCGTAGAGAAGTCAGCTTTTGCAATACAGCCTCTGCGGTAAAAGTGATGTGGGTTAGTCCTGGCGAGCAGAATACAAAGTTTGGTAGATGGCTTGGTGACAAGACTCTTTGAAACGTGGGGGTGTATTGCATCTGCAGCGCGTTTGCAGCTTCCATAGACGTTCTTGTCGGGCCATCAGCCGTCTTGAGTGGAGGAAATACTTGCCTCACCTTTCGTAGGCTATTAACGTGCTTGTACAGTAGTTTGCGGTTAGCACTGAAGGTTGTTGCGATGTTCTGCTGATAGGCGGCTTTGTCTTCTCTTAACAGTTTACTGTAGTGGTTACGTTGGGCTACGTAGTTGTCCCAAGTTTCTGGTGCTGGAGCTTCTCTGTACACTCGTCATACTGCGTTGCGTACTGTCATCCATTTTCGAGTTCTGCTCCTAACGAAAGAAACTGATTTGCACTTATTGCAAGCTTTTATCTCTGAAGCCTGTGCAATCAGCTGACTGAATTTTTTGACGAACTCGAGCTAGCCGACTTCGGGGGGTTCTTCTTCGAGGAAAGACCAAGTTGTGGCGCTGACGAGCTCGGCGAGTCGGTAGTAACTTGTGATGGTTCGCACAGTCTCATCGTTATCATTCAGATATTCTGCGTAGCAGACGAAGTTGAAACTGATGACTGCGTGATCACTGTGACCTAACAGGCAGTCTAAAGCCAACGCATCAATCATATGCTCCTCATTGGTAAGCACATGATCCAGCGCAGATGGCCTGTAACCAGTTCTGAACCGAGTGGGCAAAGTGATGTGATTGTAAAGAGGAAAAGTAGTTACTAGATCTTGTAGATCGGTTTTGAATTGTTCTCCGGTCGTGGCAGGGGCTTCTAAACAATGTACGTTGAAATCACCCATGATAAGAATGTGAGTGTACTTTTGTTGTAAACTGCACCTTAAAGCAGCCGTTAGGTGGTAGTCGGTTTCGGGTGTTGAGTTAGGGGCGCGGTACACCAAGACAATAAGGCAAGCGTCCCTACCTTTTAACTGCAACCGGCACCAAAGAGAGTCGGGGAACTGCGAGGCTGAATCCTCCACGGCTTCGCACTGTAAGTCGTTTCGGTAACACAGGATTACCCTTCCTTCTTTTGTGAGGCCTGTCGTTCCGGATTAGTGACATGCCGGGTAGCGAAACTTCAGCGTCCATCATTCCCGTGTGCAACCATTTCTCGGTGATACCAATGACATCATACGAGCCGGAAGCTTGGCGATCTTTCAGTTCAGGCAGTTCGTTAGGAAGACCCTGAGCATTCGTAGACAAGCAGGCCAGTTTCTAGGTCTCTAGGAGCCCGCAGAGAGGTGAAGCTGTCAAGTGTGGGAAAATGCCGACCGGTGGGAGGTCGGCATTTACTCGTTTTTTTTTGATGGGTCAATGATACCTCGTTTGCAACTTGAATCGGCCAAAGTGCGTCCCAGTCTCCGTTTAGACCTACGTCAGAGTCAATTAAAGCAGCAGTCAAGTTACACTTCTGTACATTCGTCAGGATGCTTGCTGTTTCAATTGCTTTAATATTTGAGCTGTACAAAGTGTTTGAGACCTTTAACCGAATTTCGGAAGGAAGATGTTTCCGATTTCTCCGCCATCCATCCAAAACATCCTTTGCTTGTTGCTCTGACTGAACCACAATTTTTAAGATTCTAGGGCCGCATCCTCTATAATTTGGTGAGAGAGGTATCCTGGTGAGCGATAGTGCCACAACATTATCCAAAGAAATTGTTTCGTGAATGAACCGCCACTGTTCTAAATCGTGCTTCCCGGTATGTTCGCCGCTTAAACACAGGCCCCAGCTGTCGACAAATTGTGAACGTATTCTGGAATCACTATGAACAGACAAGAACTAAAGAGGAGGCCAATGCATTGCGTGAGCTCAAGGTCATAGTGACGAGCGGCGGATGTAACGAAAACCGATTATTCTCAAGCGTACCCGATGGCACCAGCGCAGGTGAGATCGTGTCGACCATTTGTTTTTGGGTCGGCAATTTGTTACGCACTTAGATTTACCCCGACCAACGAGTCCGTTAAATAAGTGGCCGTAGTATCCCAACGGCATAACAGGTCACAATAGTTATGGTGCCAAGTATTAAATAGGTTTCTTTCTCATAATTGCTTGCGGATCGCGAATTATATGGACCTTAGCATACAAAGCATTTTCAACTTCAAGGGGGAAAACTTAATACTGAGAAAGAAAGTGCATCGTACCTTTCATGTACATCTTACATGTAAACGGTGCTTCATTTGTTCTTGCTTTAATGCCGTCTACCTTATGCTCATACGTGTTTGCCCCAGTTTTTCGCCCATCTACTCGGTGTATGCATGGTCCGACTTTCCATGCCACCTTGATTCACCCCTTCACACTTGTGATCGCCAAATATGGGTTAGGATGCTAGGCTGTGTTCGCGTTGTAAGATCGGCACAAGAATATCTGGGGCCGTACGGAAGTTCACGCACTGGAAATAGAGATATGTATGGAGAAGCAGAGTTTGCGACGGTCCCAATGGCTAGGATACGGTTTATTTGGTGCTCGGCCAAATGCAGTTTGGTGGGACCAGAATGACAGTACATCAACGTATGATTGCTGCTTACTTGTTCAAATGAAGCTAACATGTAATTCTCATCATCGTAGTCTATCACGAGGCAACATATGGAATAGCTCTATTATCAGTGAACTGTTTTTTTACCGTGTTCAACAAGGTCATGCGAATGGTTAGGGATCTTCAATGACAAGAATTGAAATTATAAGACGGACATCTGTTTACTAGTGTTAATGCATGCCGGCTGTGAGTTTGAACAAGGAACGATGGGAACATGACCCATAGAAGGTAAACGGGAGGTGTCTGCGTATCACGTGGTGCATTTTCATGTATGTATTAAATGCCATGATGTATTCGTATAAAGACATTGCAATTGAGACTAGGGAGCAGATTTGTTTATATGGATTAAATGTTATGAACCACTGCAGGGGTATCCGAATAGAGACACGCAGCCGTGAAGGGGACCGTCAGTTGCTCTCAGGGAAGCTGTGATCGTTTGAAATACCTGCCAGTGTATCCGACGTAAGAGAGCCACCTCTATCCAAGTAGGAATCTAACGGATCACGCGTGGAACACGGTGAGCTTAAGTAATCGCTATTATACTCATGAACTTGACCCTTTTCCGCACAGGGAATAGTCATTTTCGTAGTACATTCGTTAGTAGTTTGGATAATTGAATCATTTGGTCTGCAAAACGGAGTTCCGTTTTCTTTCAGATCTCGTTTGGTGTAAATGGTCTGCTGCCGGTACTTCTGTCTAGTAGACCCCTCCAATAGATTATCTGGTAATGCTTCACTGGTTAGCGATGCCTCCACTGAGGTGATAGTGACGTTGCCATCTTGAACAACGCGCCCAGCGTCGGATTCCGGAACTGCAAAAGGAATTGGAGCAAAGAGAATGTGTGAGAACTGGAGCACAAACTATAGTTTTCTGCAAGGCTTTTCAACAGGGTTTATATATCAAATGGACCCAAGTGAGCGACTATATTTTACTTTTCTCACGCCTTACATCAAACATCACTGCACCCCAGTGTCTTTCTGAACGTTTACGCTCGATTTCATTTTAATTGTACACTGATGCAATTTATCGAAGTATTCATCTAGGTAGACGTTCGGTAGATGACTCAGATATATTTTGATTTCATCATATTCACCTCAACCGTCCTACGGGACGTGTTAAGCACTTGCTTTTGTCCCGTGACAAATCATTGTTCCTTGTTCAGATACAACACGCAAATGAGCAAACCTTATCCTAAGACATTTGTTGTGACCGTAAGTCAGTAGATACAGCTCCTTATTTTGCTGTTAAGTACTCGCAGCGTGCTCATAATTTCGAGCCGAAATCTAATTTGAGAATCTCAGATGAACCATAGAAGGAACTAGGTTAGGCCACAGTCGACGTGTTCAAAGAGATTCAACCCACTGCCCCCCATGAACCAGCATCATCGTGTTTCGTGTCTGTAGCTTGTCTTGCGCACCACACCAGGACAAAGTGTTAACCGAATACATAAATTTTTTAATAAATCACAGACATTTTTTATGCTTTTATCTCACCCCACCTTCTAGCTTATCGTTTGCACAGTAATTTTCCACTTTTGTTATTAAGCGGCGACAAAATGCTGCTGCGCCTGCATCGCGAACGCAAGCATGCAAAGAAGACAATGCGCTAGCAACGGCCTAGTAACTTCTGTGACTGCCATTTACCGATTTATTTTATTCTCGTGAGCCGCTAGGTAATGGCATTTGCAAGTTCATGTCGTAGTTGCAGGGTAAATCTGGACGATCATCTAAGAAGTAACTAATGAGGAATCTTAGCCGCTTTAGATTACGACAACTTCCGGTAATCGGTGCACAGTTCCTGAGGCAGTGAAGCAGCTCCAGCCGTTTTTTTTAAAAGCTTCGCGAGTAAAATGCTGATTGAGGAGTAAGTATATAAAATTTACAGTACTGCACGCAAAATGTTGCAGCCATACTTGTGTCTTAGATATGCGCATTTTATGCCGTTATGTAGCTCAATTGTGCGACATAGTATCAGCTATACCTACATAGCAAATTACCTTATTGTCTGCTGCTTCTTCACCCCTTTTAGCGTAGTTGACCGTGTTAGAGCTAACTTTTATTACTTGGACAACTGTTTAAAAACAGGAATGCGACCTGGTAGGTCCGATCAAAAGATTCAGTCTGAGTGCACTCCAAGTAGAAATCTCATTATTTGGCTGTGTTCGTTCTTTCGCAAATGCTACCCCCAATCCTTAAACCTAGCCCAGCTCCTCAACCGTATGAGCACGGGGTTATCAAGTTAGCAATTACGAAGAACCAGCATGAATAGCCTTTTCCAAATTGCTTCTTTGGGGGCCATATGAACCCGCATAACTCCCTCATTGTGTTGGTGTTACGATTCCGGCTTTATTTAACGCTACTGTTCACCGCTACCCTTATCAACCGGCTCTTCATTGTCCTCGCTGCTTTCAGTAACAGAACCATAAGATAGAAAAACGTAAGTGGAAGATTACATGTTAATTCAAAAACCATATACCTGTTCTTTGTTAACACGTAGCCGGTAGAGCTTATAACAAAACCTTAGCCAATAGGTACTAAGCAGGTAACATATTTAAGGTTGCAATTGCAAAGTACAGTAACATGAAAGCGGAGCGTTTCAGTGTGACAGAAGGACTTCCGTTCTTAGCATGTGTAATAAGTTGATAAGCACAGCAACGATCTCTAGCAAAGAAATACTTCGTGAAATATGTCATCTGAACATAATGGACCAGTAAATTGACCCACTTGATATATTGGAGAGCCCACACTTGGGCAACATGCTATGACAGTTTGCGAATAGATGAGGCCAACAAAAAGTGCAGAACGCATTTGGTGATCTGAAAGTCTAAGCTGATGCATCTTCATGTTTCGTAGACTAAAACGTATAGCTGATGCCAACAAACATCCACCAAGGGACCTGTCTGTTTCGACAATATTCCGCAGCTTAGAACATTCAGACCAAGAATCAGTCATCATACCTTTCACTCTTGCAACCCTGCGCATAGTAGCAACTATCGTGTTCATGTATGTATGTGAACAACCAGATTTACGTACATCACCACTTCAGTTACTTCAGTGCGAAACAGTGGAGAATATGACAAACGAGTTCATTGGGTCGCGCCCAGATATTCCGTTTAAACAGTTCATTATCAGGAATGAACGGTCACAGATAATGGGCACAAAATTTTGTACTAGCGTACACGGACAACCATGATACTTCCACAAATGCATCCAGTAATCGGAAAGACAAACTTGATGCAAATTTTCCTAGTATTGGTCTGATACGCTTCGTAGGCCATTAGAAATGTCAACTGACAAAATGTTGGAATCGACACTGCATTAGTGTCCATAATTCCGTAGACACGGAAATGCGGTCTGTTAGTTACGCGTCGCCAACAACCACACAGCTGGTATTTACGGACATGAAGAGACGAAACGACTGCTTCAGTAATGGTGGGTGATTTTGCCTACTTGTCCTACCAAAGTATTGACATATTGCCCACAGAAGTGCCATGTCAAATGAACCGGAAACTTGGTTTTTCCGTTTTCAGAACAGCTCCTACGTCAGTCGATCAATTTTTGATTTAGCAGAGTCTAGATGCTTATTTGTTAAATTGTGTTTCAGTTTGGTAGCAATTCTCGTATTTGCTTGAAGCTACTTTCTATAGAACCGGTTGACAGAATTGGTCGCAGAATAACGTACAGAAATCAAAAATAAATGGAGAGGGAGCGGCACTTCAGTACTTTCCAGGGTGCCTGATTACTCTGGTTACTCTGCCGATTCCAAAGGAAGCCCTCCTGATGAAGTATGCTGATGATGTGATACTTGGCGTACTCCACCACACCATAGATTCATCGGACAACTTGCGATGATTGTTGGACAGCCTCACAGCGTGGTCCATATCCCACTGTTTTTCACTCAACGCATCAAAGATTATTGATGTTCTCTTCTCTTTTTCGGAAGAAAATCGTTAGCAACAGCTCCTCACGCACACTACTCATCCTTGTACTGACAGCGTCAGTTTGAACTCCTCTACAACAGTGAAATATATAGGAGACACTAAGTCGAGATCTTACGTGGTTCCATCACATGGACGCATCCATCACTAAAGTAAGGAGACAAATTTTCTATTCCTCCCGATCAAAGTCTTCATCCGTGCCTCGTTATTCGATCTCACGTTTTATTATCGCTTGCGTATTACCGCGTAGGATGTACTGCACACCTGTGAATGTTACTGGACTTTTAAACGTGCATTTCAAAGTGATCAGCAGGTTAATGAAGTAACGTGCTCGACGTAACGGCGTTACAGCGATGGAGCTGACTGATATCACCGCATTCAATCACTTTCACTCCTGAGAAAATCTGGCGTCTAAAATACTCACTAATACCAGTCACCATTTCCATAGTGTCTTGTCGCAATGTAGTTTGATTTCCTCGACCAGGCAAAGGTATAAAGCCATTTATGCTCACACACGGGCTTACCGTATGTCAGTTGTTCCTTAATTATCAGGTTTACTGAGGGATCAATATTTAGTCAAACGGAAACTGATGGCCAAACTGGTCCAATGATATCCTTACTGTCACGTTTTCAACCTGCTGACGCACCATATCCGTTTGCTATTCCGTTTTTGATTTTATCTGTGTGATTGGCGTGTGGGTTATGGTTGAATATTCCCTTGTCATGGGTGCGTAAAGCACATTGTTGACTTGACGGATTGACTGATGTGTTGTGTAAGAACAAGGTATCTGGGCGTGACATGACCGAGAGTCGTATGCTGATCCGCTCTGTGCAAGTATCCGTACGTCTATACCATTTCCCGGCCAAGTTGTCCTCTTGGGCAACAGAAATCATCTGAGGGGGCATTCAACATGAGTCTACTCAATTAATTTGTTCCGTGAGTACGCCAGTCACTTGTGCAGGTGTGCGTGTCCAGCCCGTCGCCTTCAGCCAATTGGACCTGACGCACTAAGTCATAGGGGTGCAGGTGGGACGCTTCAGCTCCTACGCACGGAACAAATTAATTGAGTAGACTCATGTTGAATGCCCCGTCAGATTATTTCTGTTGCCCAAGAGGACAACTTGGCCGGGAAATGGTGTAGTTAAAACAGATAAATTACTGCACAGCACGTCTCCCACCCAGAACACATTACGCTGCACCTTACCTGATAATGTCGAATTCAATTGCAACAACAAACGGATTGAATTTTCCAAATTGGCAAGGATGATTTCATTTTCTTCTCGCAGAGAGTACTGTGGGGCAGAGGGTGCACGGAGTGGTTGTTGCATGTCAGAAAGGAGGTATATTCCAGTAGAAAAACTGCGCTTTGTGAAACTAGATTTGATTACTAAATTCTGAATGAAATGTTAATTCGCTTAGGAGTGTCTAAGAATGATATATGCCGGAACCCACTCCCAGTATGATTAAACTACCTATTCTCCACCATATATGATTGCTGAGTTAGATAGTATGGAATGCGTCAGATTTTAATAGGGACCGTTACATATACCACGGTCTTAATTTCATATCTCACACGTATGAATCTCATTTGACTTTGAAAGATAGTTGAAAATAGGTCTTTTGCAACAAAACAACACTGCATCTCCATGATTTGAGAGACCGCCACGATGCAAGTTACATTATAAAACCGCAGAATTTCACTGGCAGAAGGATAAAATCAAAGCATGGCTGGACGTCAAGCTCAGTCGTGAGAAAACTCTCCGTAGATCAAGTTGTGCCCACAAGACACTAAGGAAATGCAGTGTTACCCAATATATTGTATCAGCAGCTCATCCTTACGGAAGTATCCTGTGGGTCACATCTTTCAGACAGTAACCAATTAGGAGGGGACAGTACGACATGCAGACACATGGTTTTCCGTGGCAGTTCCTTTTAGTTTCCAGATCAGATAACATGTTTGTTGCCTGTAGCACGCGCCTTCAAGTGTAAAGCTTACACCTGGTTAGACAGATTTCACGAATACTCAGATTAAAAGTATTAGTGGCTGTGAATTCAACTCCTGACGCTTTGAGCCAAATACAGACAAGCATGATATAACTATGGTTGGCTATTCAACCAGCACACATTATACTTTATTCCAACGAGATTTTCTATACCAAATTGCTTGTAGAAAGTTGGTACTTGTAAAATGCTATTTCTAAACGCTGCTCGAGTTGAAGCTCAAAGGTGGACAAAATACATGTGATTGGTACATAGTTAAAAAGTACATGGAACGAAAAATCATGAGTTAACAAATTTATTCGGTTCTTGGGTTATGAAATCTGGTTCGCAGAACCATGTATGTGCTTAGGTGGGGTAGAACATTAAAATTGTTTTTCCAATAAACACTTTCTGCTTATGGGCGATTTTAACTGTCCTTGAATACGATGGCCTGATGTGCATTTGATGCCTGGACATAGTGAGGTTGAAGCAAAGTTCGTGGATTTGGTACTTGAAACTGGTGCATCGCAACACATATGCCAGCCAACACGCATATCAACACGTTCAACCCCGTCCTGTCTCGACCTGATGTTAACGAGCTACGAACAACGAGTGCGTGACGTTAGGATCCTGGAGCCCCTGGCTACGAGCGACCACTCAGTACTGATAGCTGATATGGAATTATCTTTGCCGTATTCACACCCGCTGCAACCAGCTCCCAACTACTGGAAAACGGACTTCGATGGTCTTGCTCGAGCCGCGAACCAACTGGATTTGTCTCTGTCACAAGCTGCATCTGTGGAAGATTGTTGGATATTTATAAAAGAGAGATTGACGTCATTGTGTTCCCAATTTGTGCCATTGAAATGTCGAAAGGTTGGACCGATTAAGCCGAATTGGTTTGATAAGGAGTATGGAAACCTGGCTCGGAGGCGGCGCAGATTGTGGGACAAATTCCTTCTCTCTGGCTCTGCCAATGATTACGAAGGGTATAAATGTCAGCGGCATCTCTGCAACAGTGCAAAAGGAATAAACGCCGACACTTTGAAGAGCAGCTCGCATTAGCCGCGAAAGCCGCCCCAAAGAGAATCTTTGTATACGTGAAGCGACGCCTGAAGCCGGCGGGTGATGTGCCAGTGCTGGATGGCACGGATGGACAGCCCCTAACTTCCAGCACTGAGCGTGCGTCCGCGTTGGCGGCGCACTTCGCTTCTGTATTTGCGAATAACCAGGTGTCTGTTCCGAGTTCGACGTGTACCGCTTTTACCGAACTCGATAGTCTGCATTGCGGCGTCGAAGAGGTAGCTCAACTACTCGCCAACCTTGACGGCACCAAACCTGCCGGACCTGATGGGTTTCACCCACTGGTTCTCAAGTCACTTTCAACCATCCTCTCTCCTGTCGTGACTGACCTTTTCAACAGGTCGCTGTCCGAAGGTTTGTTGCCGGTTGACTGGAAATGTTCGGTGGTGAAGCCTATTCCGAAAGGTGGCGACCCTAGCAAAGTAGACAATTACAGGCCAATTTGTCTGACACCTATTTTGGCAAAGGTTGCTGAGAAAATCGTGAAGAATGGATTGCTGCAGTTGCTACAGTCAAACGAGGTCCTGACGCCCGCACAGCACGGTTTTATGCAAGGTCGCTCATGCATTACGAACCTGCTTGTGACGAGGCATGAGTGGGTGAAGGCAATAAACAAGGGGAAGTCCGTCGACGTGATATTTATCGATTTCAGTAAAGCATTCGACAAGGTCAGTCATGAGGTTCTCCTTCACAAACTCAGCATGTGTGATGTCGGTGGCTCACTGCACCGGTGGATCCGCGACTTTCTTGTTGGACGAAAGTGGAGGGTACAGGTCGACGACCATCTAACTGACTGGTACGCCTCTACAAGTGGCGTGCCTCAAGGCACTGTGCTGGGGCCCACTCTGTTTCTGATCCACATCAACGATCTACCGCAGCTTCTCCGGTCGCCGTGTGCCTTGTTTGCGTACGACATGAAGATTTGGAGGGAAATCGACGCTCCCGATGACTGTGGCCTACTTCAGCAAGATCTCAACCGCTTATCCACATGGTCTGCAGAAGTTCTTCTCCCGATCAACCCAGCCAACTCGGTATTTATGAGCCTGGGGAAGGGTGCTAACGGCTGAAACTACACCCTTGACGGCCAAACGCTATATCCCACACTCTCTGTGAAGGACCTAGGTGTACTCTCACGCTACGATTTGAAGTCTGTCGACAACACGAACAGGCTATATCGGAACGGACTGCGCATGTTTTGGGCGCTCAAACGTAGCTTCGGCACATGGTCTGAAGAGGTTGCCACTCGCCTGTTCTCTTCTATCATTAGACCAATGCTAGAGTACGGTTCGCCCGCCTACTTTCCGATTACCCGACGCGAGGCACAAAAGATCGAACGGGTCCAACACGTTGCTACCAGGCTCATCCCGAGTTTACGTGGCTTTGGGTATGAAGACCGGTGCGAGAAACTAGGACTCTACACCTTGTCCTACCGTCGGGTGCGAGTCGACCTCATTATGACCTACCGAATTCTACATCTCGGTCAGTTCCCCATGTTATGGCCAATGCTGCACTTATGAGGGCCATGCAGCACACGCGTACACAGATACAAACTTGTCGTGCCGGATATGAAACGTGTTCCCCACCCACTGTGCTTCGAACGGAGAGTGGTAAACATTTGGAACAGTTTGCCCGAACATGTGATTGAGGCAACATCTGTGCAACAGTTCAAAACGTTGTTAGATTTGTATTTTGCCTCTATTCGATTCAGAGAACGACTGCACACTTACGATGACATATCACATTTGTGAATCCTGAAATATCGTAAGTCGAATATTTACATATTACATGAGAACGACAATGATATTCAAGGTGGACAACTTTTATAACGTTTTTCACCATATTTCGAAAGAGTTGTACAGAATCCATTTCTACTTGCTCTATAATACAGTATTCAGTATTCAGTATTCAGCATACTCAACAACACGAGGGCCCAAACTGAACCAGTAAAGAACACACAGTATGTGTTGCAAAGTAGCTGGAAGGTTAGGTTACTTTTTACTAGTTATCACAATGGTGAACTCCTTTAAATGCCATCCGTATCATCTATTTCCCATAGCTTACTGTTATGTTGCACCCACAAGTGCTCAAGCTGCGTTTCGATATCTGTTTCGTCATATTTTCTAACGGATAGCGAGCTGAAATGGCAGGTGGAAAACATGAACAAAAGCATGGCAACGCGGACGGAAGATAAAGGTTGTGACATGTTGACATTTTAATTGCAATCCTCAGTCGCATGCGCAATAAGTTTGGGAACTGAAGGTACGCAAGTACATAGGGAAGGAAAACACACTGATAAATTAAATTTGGGTTAGCAAGACCAGGGCAATCTAATATACTACTTCATTTGTTTTGTTTGATGGTCAGTCATCAGAAGGTGCTTTGTAATAAAGCAGGTGAGGTTCCGGCTCTCCATGTGATCCATCCCTCCATGTTGTATCATAGAGTGCCTTGAGAACTGGAAAGTACTCAGTCACCATCTGAGGCAGTCACCGGTCAGTCCTACCCATATAGAGGTCATCGCAGCTGCAGGCGAACTGATAAATAACACTTCTGTAACCAGAAGTGACTATCTAACGGAGAGCAGATGAAACACCTTGTTGACCACCTACTTCTCTGTGGACTGCTACTGCACACAAGGAAGACGAACGAACTACCCGGATGTCAAAGGTCATCTTTAATCATCCCGCTGCGTTGCAGCTCAGGTCTTTATGAACAAAGGCTCGGGATGGGGTCCCTTAAGTCAACCCTCTTCCTCGGCCTGGGCAACGGGGATGATCTCTTCTCACACAAAGCATGAACTTCTAAACCTACCAAACCTTTACAATGGCTACCTGCACTTCCACTTGTTGTTGTTGTTGTTGCTGCTGCTGCTGTTGTTGTGGTTGTTGTTGTTAACTATGCGTTGTGGCCTTACCAAATGTATATTGGCCAAGAGTTGAATAATAATAGTAATATACCGCTTGAACGATAGAAATAAACAGACATCCTTTGTTTCAACCATTTCTACTGGTGGCTTCTCTTTGGTGGGTCTACTGTGGAACTGCATAATTTTCCCCGGATACCCGTTTATCAAACGAGTCCTATTGTAGTGGAGCAAGAGACTGGAAAGTCACAAGAACGGGCGAGGAAAGAAACTGGCACAGTCCTCATGGACGAGATCAGACAGCGCAAAGCAAGCCCCATCGAACGAGGAGAGAGCAGATCACGAGCGAGGAATGGTGATGGGTCT